TAAGCCTCTAGAATTTATATTTATATGATAAACTTTAAAGTTCTCCCAACTTATCACTCTGGGAAAAAAGGAGAAATTACAGTCATCTTACTCTTAGGGCCGGAAGTCTAGAGAGAGATGCTCGCTCTAGGTTAATGAAAAACTGACACCGTTTTGCTGGGCTTATGGCAATTCCCACCCCTTTCTAACTAATGTGAACTCTCACGCCCAGGGACATAGTTAAGAGTCTCACATATTGAGTGCTTTTGGGACGTAAACTCTATTGCAAATCACTCAAAGAATGGCTTCTTCACGGTATTTTTTAGAACACCTACTTGTTTTTTTTGTTGTTGTTCTTTGTTTTAATTTCTTTTTTTTTTCCATTTATTTTTATTAGTTGGAGGCTAATTACTTTACATCATTGCAGTGGTTTTTGTCATACAGTGAAATGAATTAGCCATGGATTTACATGTATTCCCCATCCTGGTCCCCCCTCCCACCTCCCTCTCCACCCGATCCCTCTGGGTCTTCCCAGTGCACCAGGTCCGAGCACTTGTCTCATGCATCCAACCTGGGCTGGTGATCTGTTTCACCCTAGATAATATACATGTTTTGATGCTGTTCTCTTGAAACATCCCACCCTTGCCTTCTCCCAGAGTGCACAAGTCTGTTCTATACATCTGAGTCTCTTCTTCTGTTTTGCGTATAGGGTTATCGTTACCATCTTTCTAAATTCCATATATATTAGAACACCTACTTGTTTTTAAACATCTTCCTTTCACCATCCAAAGCTGCTTCTTAATGTTATTATTGCTCATGGCAATCACATTTCAGTTCTCTGAAAACTACTTGTCAGTTTTTCTCTTTCTGCTGTTTCTGTTCAAGTGAAGGTACGTGACTTGCTTTCCCTGGATGCTCTCCACTATCGCTCACCCCTCTGCTCCCCCCGCCCTCCCCGCCCCGAGGAGACCACTGTGAAATCAAATTAGAAGCATACAGTGTCAGCATTAGAAGGCTCCCAAGATTTCATCTCAATGAATTCAAACCCTTGTACCTTCCTCATTAAAGATGAAAAAGCTGAGGTATGGAGCATCCCAAAGCAAGTAGCAAAATTAAGCCAGGACGTGAGGACCTTCAATCCCTAAGACTCTCTTAGTTTGACCTCCTCAGAAATAGAGCGGGAAACCAAGGGCAAGCAGTTAACTTAGGAGGTGATTCCGGGAAACAGAGCAGGGGGTGGTGAAATAAGACAGGGAAGGAAAGGCAGCTCTTGAGGATGTTGTAATAAGCACCTTGACTCTGTGAGCAACTGGGGCTCAATCCCCCTGAGAGCCTCAGGAGATGGTTTAGAACAAGCCTTGGAGCTGTCCCACTGGAGGGGGTCAAGGAACCAGTGGTTCCACAGTGACCCACCAATTCTTGTTTCTCATTGGCTGAAGGGTGGTTAATTCCCCAGCACTTCCAGCCTTTTCTATGAGAGGGCCCAGTATTCTTCTGCAGCTGGAGGAAGTCCTCAGCAGAGTTGCAGTCTTTCAGTGGGAGTCACCCAGCAATCATGCACAGGGGATCTGTGTGGGGCAGTGACATCTCCTGCTGCAGCAGCCAAATGCTCATTCCCTCCTGCCCTGGCCAATAAACTTCAACTGCCTTAGAGGTGAGAGGCTGAAACAAAACATGATTTATAAGGGGAAATTAAATGTACAGGGTTGGTATTTGCAAATGAGTAAACATTATCCTTATTTAACAGAACCTACCATGCACTTTTGCACATTACCAACTTTGTGCATACTATCCCTCTATCTTGTATGAACTACTAGAAAAACTCCTATCCATCCTACAAAGTCCAGTACCAATAAAAGCTGTCTATTATGTCCTTTCCCGATTCCTTAGGCAGAATTAATTGCTATCTTGCTTTGTTCTAACAGCATGTCCTGCCTTTGTCGCACTTGCTACTAATAGTAGTAATAATAGCTACTGTTTATTGACTTTAATTTTGCTCCAGACTCTGTTTTAAGTAATTTATGTTAATTAACTCATTTAAAACTTTCAAAAACTCAATGAAGTAGCTGCAGTTACCATCTGCATTTTGTAGACTGGAAATGAAGACTGAGATTAGCAACTTTCCCAATATTGTGTAGTTGGCAAGTGGCATAGCTGGGATTTGGTTCAGAAGGTCAGGCTTCCAAGTCCCTACTTTCTTTGGCTCAGGTAGAGAAAGGGGCCAAAGCACTGAACTCAGGACTATTCCTGGCAGTTTTGGTAAAGCCTCATGCCAGCTAGGAAACACTGTCTGCAAAGAATCTTAAGCAGGTAAATGACTCAAGATTTACATTTTATAAATGTCACTCTCACCATCATGCACAGGGTGAATCAGAGGAGGAGAGACTGAGAAGAGATAGCAGCATTCTGACTGGTGCAATAATCCAAGTATGATGAAGTCCCAAGTTCAGTAGGGCTCCTCCCTGGGCTAACTCCCGCTTAACTCCCCAGTCACTCCCCAACATTGTGGGGCTGCTACTCCTAGATGTGTGGGGGTCCTGCACAAATGCACTAGGCCAAGGGCCATGTGGGTGCAGAGATGATGCAGCTTGGGCTCTGGCCACACCTGTGAGCCCTGGTGAGGAGTCTCAAATACAAGAAGGAAGGGTACCTTTTGCTTGCTTGCAGCACAGAGAAGCCATGTGGAGTAGCGGCGGTCCTACCCAGTTTTCCCTCCAATTCAGACATTTTAAACTACTTTTTGTTTCGTAATTATGTCATGATTTTCCCCACCTCTATTTTGAATATTTGATTTCCTCTGGTAAGCATGCTCTTTCACTCACTCATTCATTCATTCATTCTTTTACTTACATTTTTTTAGCACCCAACATGGACCAAGGAACTTGCTAGGTGATGGGGACTTTGCAGTCTAGGGGACGAGACAAGTGTAAATGTAGTAATTATGCAAATGTTACTCTGACACTTTCTTTAAAGGTAAAGTTGGAACCATGAGACTACATGCTGGATACTGGGGACTCACCTGCTCTGGGATTCAGGTGGCCAAGCTGAGATGGTGACTGGGATGACGTAACTTCCTTTTGGAGGGACGTGACTTTCATGTTGAGATGTGAGCAATAAGTAGGAATTAACCAGACACGGAAGATAGAGAAGGAGGAAGACCACCCTGCCTGCTGTCTGACCACGGTGAACAGTGTGCTCATGAATCTGTGGGTTAAAGCACATAGGTCTGGAGTCCAGATGAGACTCACAAAGGCAGGGGGAACTGAGGAAGAGGTCCTTGAAAGAGAAAAGAGGAGAGGAATACATGAGAGAAGCTGCTGGGAGAGGAATCTGGGGACCACAGCGAGTAGCAGGAGGCTGGACTTGGTGAGACCCATGGGGAAGTTCTCAGAGCAGGCTGAAGAGGAGCTCTGAGAAATGGGGATGTTCGATATTTAATTTTAAATTGTGCTTCTGTAGCTTACAGCTCTTCCCGTCCCCAAACCTTCAGTATAATCAGTTGCACATAAATGCCTTATGTAGATGGTTTGAGGAAATCTGGGCTGAGTGCCCAGAAAGGGTCCTGATGAACAGTAAGGACAGCATAGACATGGGAGGTGACCCAGAACGGGAAACAGTTGATGGGCACAGAAATGTAGAGGCAGCACTACAAGAGGTAGTCATATACTCAGAGGTATTGAAGCCCTCAAAACAAGAATTTTATTTGTATTCAATTATGATGAATGATTAACATAAAGTAATCAAAGTCAGCATTAAAATGGGTCCCATGAGAGTAGGGACAGCCTAGACGAAAACGAAAGAAGGAAGGGACATTCTCATGGGTGTCTTCAGCAATGGGACAGGGCCGTGGTTTCATTCTAGATGTCTGAGACTCAGTGTAAACTCCAACTGAAGTAGACTCTTCCCCACCCCCAGCTCCCCAGCTCACCACCCAGCCAGGACTTTGTAGAATTACCAATTCAACATTTACTATTACTAATGCAACCCCTGTTACTTTCTGGGTACAAAGTCACTTGGTCCCCACCCCTTGGAGTACTGTCTGGTCTGGGAGGCAAATCTCACAGTACTGTGATCAGCACTATCACAGAAGCAGGTCCAGAGGGTGTGGGAGCAGGAAGGGGACTTTGATCCAGTTGTGCGCATCAGGCAGCTTCCTGGAGGAGGGATACCCAGGCAAGGTCAGGGTGTTTTCCAGGGCAGTTGGATGCCTGGCAGGCAGAGGGAGAGGGCAGAGGCGCAGCTGCAGGGGCCCCTAAGTAGTCTTCACTGCCCCTCTGCCAGGCTTACTCATAGCACCAAGCAGCCAGGCTTCATCTCTCTTTTCTCCAACAAGCCCTGTCTCTCCAGCCGGCCTCCAAGTCCCTCAAGGGCAGGAGACCTGGTGCATGTTTGGATGTGAGAGTAGGAACCAGGAGATCTGAGTGTGCCAAGAAGAGCTCCCTGTCCCACTGCCAGCTGCCGCCTTGCTTACCCTCCACATGGCCCTTCAGTCCTTCCAGTCGACAGAGCTGCCAATGAGAGTATAAGGCCCTCCTGGGGAGGTTCCAGCTGGAAATAGATGAGCGGGGATTGGGAGCCAGAGAGTAAGGGGGAGAGAAGGTGGATAAGGAAAGGGTAAGGGTGAGCAAAGACACAGAAGGATTTTTTGCAACTTTCTTGCCATTCTTTCTCTTTATCACTTTTGTGACCTCATGACACATGTAGAGTAAAAAGCTCCTGAACAGACTCACCAGAGGAGGGAAAACTGTTTTTAAGGTAGGAGTGAAAGGTTCTGGAGTGGAGAGAGCTGGAGTCCGAGACCCAGTGCGAGTCCTGCCGTGTGTCCTGAGCAGACCAAGGGCCCTCTCTGGGCCTCGGGCTCCACTCCTCGGGGTGCAGCCTGGACAGGGTACTCGTTGGGGCCGGCTCAGTCTCAGCCTCTGAGGGTTCCGTGTGGACAGCGAGGCGGGGGGAGAGCCTGTCTGCAGCCGGCCAGGCCTGGCGGTGTTGAACCTGCCTGGGCCGAAGGCAGGCGTGCGGAGTCACGCAAAATAGCCCCAGAGGAAGACATTGACGGCCAACAGCAGCACGGCGTTAATGTTGCAGACGCTCCTCCAGAGAGGCTCCTCCGCGATGCTGGTCAGTTTCTGCTCCAGGGCGGCCTTCTCGGCGGGGCTCAGCGCTTGCTCCGGGGCCCCCGAGAGCCCGCAGAACCAGCGCCAGAGCCACTGTCCCCAGGACCTGCGTGGGGCTGAGGGACGGAAGTCAGAGGGGAGGGAGGCAGGGGAGCGGCAGAGTACAGGTGGGAGAAAGGGGGTGATGAGAGAGCAGGGCCGGGAGAGAGAGGGTGAGAAACCCAGGAAAGGAGCCAGGCGCGTAGGAGGGGCCGGGGCAGGCGGAGGGGTCAGCCTAGCCTTGGGTGCAAGCTGCCGGCGGGGTGCTGAGCTAGGGCATCACGCTGAAACCCCTAACTGTTGTATCGTGGATGCTTCTCCGGGGGTGGCGTGTTGGGAGGTGAGGATAATGCCGCTCATCCCAGTTCAGAGTGCCCGAGGACCCAGCGGCTCAGCATTAGGAAGCACACTGCCCTGTGATATAAACCAAATCCTACACCTGCACTTTCTCAGTAATGAGGGCACTATTTCGGCTCCCATCTGCCTTACTCATTTAATATCAATAGTCATCTGGGAAGGGGGAAGGGTGATATTTTGAGGATTCCCTTAGGGACCCCATCCCCAATGAACCCCCAAATGGGGTCTTCGGGGAACCATGACCCGGTGTCTGTCTCCATCGCTTCCCTCTGCCCCCGTATTCCCTCAGCCTACCTCCAGACTGCTCCCGGCCCTGGCTGGGGTCCTCTGCTCCTCCGGCCCCTGCGGGGCCCTCCCCAGAGGCCGCCTCCGCTGTCCCCGCTGTGCCCTCGGGGGGCTGCTTCTCCAGCTCAGAGCGGGGGCGGTTCCGTGTCCACCAGGTCAGGCGAGCCAGCTGGAGGGAAAGCAAACAGTCTCAGCTCAGGTGCCTTTGGAGGGCAGTCGGGCTGTAAGAAGAGAGAACCCCGTTCCTGGGAGGCCGGCAGAGCCTCGTGGAGAACAAGGAAGGAGCTCGCGGCTGGAGGAGGCCGGGCTCTGAGCCCCGACTCACCGGTCCTTTGAAAACCTGAACTCCTTGCACCTGCTCCATGCAGGCCTCCTGCCAGGGGCCAAAATCTCAGCAGATCAGGCTGGGCCCCTGAGCTCACAGACAAGGAGAAGCAAGACTGGGGACAGGCAGACGTGCCCTGTAGGGTAAGGGAGTTAGAGAAGGCGAGGTTCGGAAATAGACCGCACTTTACAGGAACAGATCACCTTTAATGAGGCGAGAAGGGGCAGCAGTCAGATGAGCAAGCTACTGCACTTACCCAAGAAAAGAGTAAGTATATATAGGCATATATGTGGAAATCTACTGTCTTAAGGGGGCCTGTTCTTTTCCAAAGTTCTTCCGAGTAGTTATCTCTTAAACGGCTGGGGGCAAGGAATTCTGGAGATCGGCCAGAGGCTGGACTGGCTGGGAACTGGTCTTAATCAACCTTAACATCCCTTTTTTTTTTTTTTTTTTTCCCTTCAGGTGAGAGAGTTCTTTGCTTTGCGTAGAATGGTGCGGAGGACCCAGAGGGAAGTTTTAACTCCAGGCTATTTTGAGCCATGTAACTTTCCTTCATGCCCCACATAGTGACTTCTGCAGTTGGGTGGAGGAGCTGACCCCAAATGAAACTGGCTGGCAGTGGAGAGTCACGGAAGACAGAGGCAGAGGAAAGAGGTTGAGTTTTAGGCTTTAGAAAGATCTCCTGGAGTGAACTGATGGGATCCAGCCTAGAGCCAGCTGTGCAAGTGAAGCAAGAAAAAAGGAGCAGCTAGAGGTCCCAGGAGGGAGCAGTGTCAAGGTTAAGGACTGAGCTCTGCAGGCTATGATGACTGAGGAAGCAGGCGGGGGAGAGAGGAAATGACAGCTCACACATGGAACAACGATATTTAAGGAGCAGGAGGAAAACCCCATGAGGATGGCAATGGGGCAGTCAGCTGGCAGGAAAAAAATACAATGAGCAGAAGAGAGGTCTCCAGGATGCAGCATGTGGGCAGTGATAGCTGGTTCTTCTCAGGATCCACTTAAGGTGAGGATGGGGAAGTGGCCGTTGATTTTTAGTTACAAGGTTGTTGGGCATCTTGGCGTGAGCGGCGTCAGAGGGCAGTGGGACTCCAGCAGCAGGATGGGAAGTAAATGAGAGGGAAGTGGAGGCTGGGGATGGAGACCATCCTTCACAACGTTTGCTGCTGAGGCTCAGAGAGGGAGACAACTGTGTCTATCTGGAGGAGCCAGGAGCCAGGGAGGAGTTTTCACTGGGAAGGACTTCGGTGCGGAATGAGACAGCAGACAATGGGGAAGCTGCAGGATCAAGGAGTGGGCGTAGATCATTTCTGGAGTGAGTCCCCTGGGGAAGTCAACCTCTTGGCTCATCTGTGAAGATGCCGCTTGTTTATAGGATTTCATTATACCAAAGGTATAAATTGTTTTGCCAACTCTAAAGGTAAGGAGTGTTATTAGTTATTTCCACCCAGTGTTTCGGGGACCAACTTTTGACATGGACTCTGTTACGGGCAGAATACTGTTCCCCTCAAATTCACATGCTGAAGTCTTAATCACCCCCTACTTCACAGTGTAACTGTATTTGGAGAGAGGTTCTTTAAAGAGGTGCGTGCTAAGTCCTTTCAATTGTGTCTGACCCTTTGTGACCCCATGGGCTGTAGCCCATCAGGCTCCTCTGTCCATGGGATTCTCCAGGCAAGAATACTGGAGTGGGTTGCCATGCCCTCCTTCTGGGGGGTTTTCCGACCCTGGGACCGAACCCACACCCCTTAGGTCTCTTGCACTGGCAGGTGGGTTCTTTACCTCTAGCACCACCTGGGAAGCCTCTCTTTAAAGACGTGATTAGGGTTAAATGAGGTCTGATGAGTAAACCCTGGTCCAACGTGACTGGTGTCCTTAGAAAGGAGATCAGGACACAGGCAGACACAGAGGAAAGCCCACATGAAGAGGGAACGTGGACATCTATGAGCCAAGGGGAGAGGCCTCAGAGGAAATAACCCTGTCGACCCCTTGACGTCTGGCCTGCAGACCTGCAGGAAAATAATTTCTATCATTGAAGCCACTCAGTATGTTGTACTTCGTTATGGCAGCCTGAGCGAACTAATGCCCTTTTACACTAAAGAAAACAAAGTTTCAGAAGCCAGAGCATCCCTGTCTGAGGACTGGTAAATCCATCAGCATGGGAGCTCTGCGGGTTTCAAGCTGAGCTCTTACTCTGCTAGATTGTTTCTTTTTTCATAGACCAGTTTCTTCAAGGTCCAACTCCAAGTGACCTTGTCAGAGCACCCTTCCCCTCCCCCAGGGTGCCTGCCTCTCCTACTCTCCACTGCTCCCTTTGAGCTCGGTCCTTCTGTGCTTTCTCTTAGTAGAATAACTGTTGGTGGTGATGAGGTCTTCCTTTCCTCCTCCCCCCGCCCCCCACTTCCCATGGACAGTGGCTGGCAGGGACCGTTCATCTTTGTAAGCCCAGGACAGGGCCGGGCCCAGAGTAGGTGCCCACTGAATAATTCTCCAGTTGAATGAATTACTTTTCACTTGGGAATGAACAGCACAAGGAGCTCACCATCCCCAAGACATCCATGACCACAGCCCAGTAGAGTGAAGGTCAGTGGTGAGATTCCAGGCGCTGGGGAAGGGGAGCACGGGGCCCTCACTGCAAGCACTCCACTTGCCTTTTCCTCGGGGATGGGAGCTGTGCAGAGGCTGACTGTGAGGATGACGATGGCCGTGAGCCCGCAGAGGAGGAGCGCGAAGTACAGGTAGTGGAAGTCCTTGAGCACTGCCGGCCTGCGGTCCTCCTCCCCGCAGGCGGGGGCTGGGTAGCAGAACTCCAGGATCATGCGTAGAAGCCCCACCACCAGGCCAAACAGGAGGCCCCAGAAGGCTCCCTGCGGAAAGAGGGCATGCCAGGGGTGGGATCCAGGTGGGAGAGCCTCGGAAGCTAAAAGCCACAGGTTGTCACAGCGTGTGCAAGCCTGCCTGAGTGAATGCTGAGGGGCTGTCTTATCCTAAAGGCAGGCAGAGTGATGTACTGGAAAGGACATGGGCTCCAGAACCAGGCAGACCAGGCTCCACGGTGGAACAATGGCCAGAGCAGTGAATTGACCTCACTCACGAGCAGCGACAGGCAAATGACTAAGTACTAAGGATAGGTGTTTAATATTCAACTAGAATGGAATCTATAATCAGTGGGGAAAACCAGGATCTTCCTCCCCAAATTCCTGTCATCATAAATCAGAATTAGAGCACTTCCTTTTTTAAAGGAAAGCTCAATTTCATATCTTCTCTGTAGCACTGTTGGACCCTAACCTACACCTGTTTCCCAGGTATAAGGGTGAGAAGGCTTTTATTTTCAAAATATGAGATGCTGGCCCAGTTTCAAAAATTCTGGAATGAATAGAAACCTCCAGACCTCAACTGATTCCCGGTGTGCACGCTGGTTATCAGCAGGGGGCCTTGAGCTCTGCGAACAGTAGACCCAGCAGAGGCCGGGCTCAGTGTCCGCACTGAGGAGCGGCCTCTGTGGTCTCCTTCATCGTGGCCCTGGGCGGTCCTGTCCACAGCGTTCCTTACCTCCCCCAAGGTACAGCCAATGGGTCTGGGGCTCTCTTTTCCAGGCTCTCCCAGGGAGTGACCAAGGTGACCCTCCTGGCACCTCCCGGCATCTGTTCGATTTCAGTGCAGCTTCATGAATGGCACATGTGCACCCCTGTAAGCTCCACTTGGCTTCATCATCCTCTTTGCTGTTAATTTGCTGACATGTAGAACCTTACAGTGTTAGAGATCTTCCTGTCCCCGTGGGCTATTACACACACTGACCCTGTCTGGAACACTCTCCTCTCCCATTAATCCTTCAGATCTCAGCTCAGATGTCACTTTGTGACCCCCTCCCAGGCATCCCATAGGTTAGGCGCTCCTGCTTTTTGCTCCCATAGCAGGCATCCTATTTGTGTATATGTTTTTATTTCTCAGTTGTGTCTGACTCTTTGTGGCCCCATGGGCTGTAGCCCGCCAGGCTCCTCTGTTCATGGAATTTTCCAGGCAAGAATACTGGAGCAGGTTGCCATTTCCTACTTCAGAGAATCTTCCTGACCCAGGGACTGAATCTGCGTCTCTTTCATCTCCTGCATTGGCAGGTGGATTCCTTACTGCTAGCACCACCTGGGAAGCCATCCTACTTTGCTATTACCACATGTTGAATCATCTCTCCTCCCTCTGGCCCAGTGGTGGCAGACGTGAACTTTGTAAACCATTACATCCCCAGAGCCTCCATAATGGGATGAGTGTTTGTGGAGTGAATGAATAAATCTTGACCTGTTACTATGGATGGGGAGTTGGAAGCCTGGAGACGGCAGTCAGGTCATGGACCGAGTAGCTCTCCTGACCCTCTGATGTTCTGGGAGAGACAGGTGTGCGGCTGTACTCACAGGCTCTGTGACCCTCTTGCAGAAGATGGCCAGGAGGAAGAGGGCAGTGATGGGCGGGGCCAGGTAGCTGGTGACAGACTGGATGTAGTCGAAGAGCTGCCCGCTGTTGGAGCTTTGGATGATGGGGATCCAGAGGATGCTGATGACGACCAGGAAGACCACGAACACTCTGCAGGAGGGCACAGGGCGCTGTGAGGGGTGCTCAGGCCGCGCAGCAGGGGGTGAGTGGGGACCAGGAAAGGAGAAAGGAGAGGAACGCGTGCTTGCTCAGTCAGAGACTGATAGAAGGCCAGCATCCCAGATGCAAAGATTACAGACATTTATATTCGTAAAATCACAGAACATTAGAATTATAGAATCCAAATAAAACTCTAGAACTTAAATTTTAGATCCCTTGAAGGGGGTGTGTGGACCATCTGTTTTCAGGAAGAAATCCATACCTTTCCCCTTCATCATCCTCCTCAGTAAAGGGCCTCTGGTTGAAAAACTGTTCTTGGGTGTGTTGGGTGCAATAATGCATATTGCCAGGAGATGGCGTCCAATCCCCACTGATTGCTGTAAATTTGGCAGGTGGGCAGAGATCAAAGGATTCTGTCTTCTCGTCTTTCCCTCCCATTCTCTCTCTTTCTGGCCCCAGTACAGCAGCAGCTACCTAATGGCCTCCCTGCCATTCACTTCGCTCTCATCCTCCTCCCATTTGAACAATCTGTCCTACACTCAGATCCTTCAATGGTCAGTCCTTGGGCGTAGAGCTGGGGGTGCACAGATGAGTGGGCATGAGGGGTCCCTTAGGCAGCCATGGGCAGAAGGCATCATGATGGAAGAAACAGTGAGGGCAAAGGTAAGGAGATGGACAAGAGTAAGTTATCTAAATTCAAGTACCATCTACCAAAAGGGAGAAGGAACATTCAGAAACTTGAGTTATAGAACCTTAAATTATGAAGCAAAGATTTCGGAAAGGTCCTCTTAACTTTATGTAAACTATAAATCCCCAACCTAGAGAGAAAAAGTAAAAATAGCCACCAAGTTATGTCTTGAAAAGCATAAAATGAATACCTATGAAATAAGGTTCAAAATTTTCAGCTGAGTGTTCAAAGCTCTGCATCCTTTGGAGACAAACTTTCTATGAATATCTCCATCCACCCATGTCCCTCACTGCATTACCTGTGTTTCTGCCTTTCTCTTAAACTGTGTGCACCCTCAGGGCAGGACCATATAAATCACCCCTGCGTCCCCAGCACAAAAGTATGATGCAGGATGCCTGCTGAGAGTGAGTCTGATGGAGTGAATGAGTAGTCTTTCTGGTATCCTGGGGTGACAGCCAGAGCTGGTCTGGAAGACACTGGGGGTGAGATGCTTGCTAACTCCTCATCAATACAGTTCATCTTTCATTGATTAAATGCTTTGTCAGCTTCTCTCATTTACCCTCTTGGTCAGTTCCAAGATAAAATTGAACAAGCAGGCAGGGAAGAGACTTTTTTTCCTCCTTATCTGGAGGGAGAATGGTCCAGAGTTGGGGAAGCACTTCCCTGATGTCGGAGAGAAAGGTGGCACAGGACCCAGATGCTCTGACTGCCGGGGCAGGGCCCAGACCCAGACACATCTGCTTGGGGTCACCCAGGGCAGGGAGCAAAGGGGGAAAGATGTCTGCCTACGGGGAGAGGACCCAGGAAGGATGGGCCCGCGCACCTGCCCACCACCATCAGCTCCTGTTCTGTTGCATTCCTGCGGAAGCGCTGCCACACGTCAATGGCGAACAGGGTGCTGCTGCTGTTGAAGATGGAGGTGAGTGAGCTCATGAGGGCGGCCATGATCACTGCGATCATCAGGCCCCGCAGACCTGGGGAGAGACGAGGTGTCTGTGGACAGCTGGCCCGTGAAGGCTGATCTGCCAGGAGCTATAGAGGCTGCCAGCGTCCAGCAGAGTCAGGAGCTCAGAGGAGGGGAAGGTATGGTGGAGGTGTTGAATGGGGTGCCCATCCAGGAACCCAGGAAACTCATAGAACTAGAGGCTGGTCCCAGCCACCCTTTGCCTCTGCCTTCCTCTGTGGCCATGGCCAAGTCATCTGCCCTCCCTGAGCCTCAGTTTCCTCATCTGCATGTTAAAGGATGTGGGACCAGGTGACCTTTAAGGTTCTTGTCAGCTTGGCCATCTCAATCTGGATTTTAAACCTGTAGACACTTGGTTAGTGGGCTCTGGTTGGGAGAAGGGTGATTATTAATTATTGAGTTTTTTTTCAGTGTTTTGTACCTTTATCATGGACACTATGGTGCAAGGCTAAAGCCCCAGCCTGGGCAGCAGAAAGCTCTGAGCTTTTTAAATGTTTTTATTTTATTTATTTTAATTTGTAATGCAAACTTTAAAGGTTACTTTCCTTTTTACAGTTACTAAAAAATGTTGGTCATATTCCCTGTGTTGTACAATGCATCTTTGAGCCTATCTTATACCCAGTACAGAGAAGGCAATGGCACCCCACTCCAGTACTCTCGCCCGGAAAATCCCATGGATGGAGGAGCCTGGTAGGCTGCAGTCCATGGGGTCGCAAAGGGTCGGACACGACTGAGCGACTTCACTTTCACTTTTCATGCTTTGGAGAAGGAAATGGCAACCCACTCCAGTGTTCTTGCCTGGAGAATCCCTGGTAATTTGCATCTTTTACTTCTCCACCCCAGGGTTCCTTGTTCCCAGGAACCACTTGTTCCTTATCTGTATCTATGAATCTGCTTCTTTTTTGTTATGTTCACTAGTTTGTTTTTTTAGATTCCACATACAAGTGATAATATACCATATTTGTCTTTCTCTCTCTGACTTATTTCACTTAGTGTAATGCCCTCCGAGTTCATCCATGGTGCTGTAAATAGCAAAACTTTTTTCTTTCTTATGGCTGAGTAGTATTCCATCTGTGTGTGTCTGTGTGTGTGTGCATACCATCTATATCCATTCATCTGTTGATGGGCATTTAGCTTCTTCCTTATCTTGGCAATTGTAACTAGTGCTACTATGAACAATGGAGTGCATATATCTTTTAGAATTAGTGTTTTTAGCTTTTTGGAGTATATACCCAGGAGTGGAATTGTGGGGTCTTATGGTAGTTCTACTTTTAGTTTTTTTAGAAACCTTACGGTTTCCCACAGTCAGAAGCTGTGGGTTTCTTTCCTGATTCTGCAAGTAACTAGCTGTGTGACTGGGCCAACTAACTTTGGCCCAGTCCTGATCCTTTCTGGGCCTGTTTTACACCTGTAACAAGGGAGGGTGGGACCTGCTGATATCTGGTCTGTATGATTCTGATGAGGAAGTGTCTAGAAACAAGACTCTCTGGCCAGATCCACCTTAGTCCTCCTTCCCCTCAGTCCAAATATTTAATCACCCCCTGCTTGCCTCCCTAGAAGGCTCAAGGTGTCCCAGATCTAGGACAGCATCTCCTCTGGGACCCCTGCTTCTTCTCTTGGTTAATGATAAATTTCTGTTCTCTAACCAGACACCGCCAAGTTATCCCAGACCTCTTCCTCTACCTTCTTCCCTCTGCGTCTGCTCCATCATAGCTGGGCCTCCATCCCATCTCCACTATTTCTTTGATTCATTTTACCTTCACTGCTTCTACTGGAGGGAGGGAATAACTCAACTTTCCTCCATAAACCTGCTTTTTTCCCCTGTGTCCCCAGTCTCAATGTTACTATAAACTCAAGACCTGCGAGCCCTCTTTGGATCTCTGTCTTTCTTGTCCCTCAAATGCAATCAGTCATAGAGTCAATTCTGTCTCACAAATATCATCTAAACCCTTCCTGTCTATCCCTAAATCCACTGACCCTAGCCAAGCCACCATCACAACCTGGACCACTGGAAATCCCTCAGTAATCATCTCCCTGCCTCCACCTAAGCTGAACCCTCCATGTAGAGCGATCCTTCTAAGCACACATCTGATCATGCGTGTGTGTGTATTAATCACTCAGTTGTGTCCGACTCTTTGCGACTCCATGGACTATAGCCCGCCAGGCTCCTCTGTCCATGGAATTCTCCAGGCAAGAATACTGGAGTGGTTGCCATTTCCTTCTCCATGGGATCTTCCTGACCCAGGGATTGAACCCAGGTCTCCTGCATTGCAGGCAGATGCTTTACCGTCTGAGCTACTAGGGAAGCCCCTAATCATGCATGCCGGCCTGAAACCCCCGTGACCCTCCACTGCCCTCAGAGTAAAGGCCATGCTACACAGTGGGGCATGGCCACCATGTCCTCCCCACAAAGGTGGTCTTCACTCCTGCTGCATCTGAGTCCACACTGGCAATTTTCAGTTCAGGTTTCACGCTCTCTCTCAACCCTGGGCCTTTGTACATGCGGCCCTCCTCCCCAGAATGACATTTCCCACACCCCTCCCCCTTGTCTGCCTAAGGTGTCCCCTGGGACTAAGCTCTATTTCCTCTCCTCTGGAAACCCTTCCTTCATAGTCCCCCAAAGTGGGTCAGGTGCCTCCCATGGGTCCCTCATCCCCGCTGTGTCCTCAGACTGGTCACATTATATTGCGCCTTCTACCCTGGAGACAGCACAGAGTCCCTTTTATCCCTTCCTCTCCAGAGCCAGGGCAGAGCAGTGCCCTACAGATGCCTGTGAAAACGTGTGTGTGTGTGTGTGTGTGTATTAGGAAGTGGGGTGCGAAGGTAAATGTTCCCATTTTCTCTTCCCATCTATGTGCTTCCTTAATGCAATCAATTTATCCTGGATAGTGGGCTCTGGATCTTGTTGGAAAGCTTGTGTGAAGCATGCTGCGAGGGAGATGGACTTACCCACAGGCATGAGAGCCATGACCAGCTTGGGGTAGGCGATGTTGGAACATCCCACACGGGCCCCACAGATCGCTTGGCAGACATCAGGGTCCACGCAGCCCACCTCATCTGAAGAAGTGATGGTAGTTAGACCCAAATTATCCCATGCCTTCTCGGGTTGGCTCAATATGTGCTTTTTGACCCTATAGAAAAAAATGTTCATTGGTGATTCTGGCAGGGGCCAGTGTCTAGAGGGTCCAAGGATAGGCTGATATTGGGTCTTGTGGTTTATTGGTATCTGGTAAATTTCTCAGCCACATACTACCCTGCAAATCCTGATAGACTCCTTTATATTTTAGACCTTTTATTTTAACGAATAGTAAATATCGTTAAGTAGATATCCTTACAAAGCACCATGAGTGCCTCAGATAGCTGGATGGCACCACCGACTCAATGGGCATGAGTTTGAGTAAACTCCGGGAGTTTGTGATGGACAGGGAGGCCTGGCGTGCTGCGATTCATGGGGTCGCAAAGAGTCGGACACGACTGAGCGACTGAACTGAACTGAACTATAAAGAGAAAGCTGGACTTTAAAATGACATTCAGATACAAGGTTCTTCTAATGAGATACATACTGTAGGTCAGACCCACAAAGCCTAACATATTTACTATGTGTTCTTAATAGAAACAGTGTGTGTGGTCCCTGCTCTGGTCCAATATTGCCCAGAGTGGGACTGACTCTTACCTGGGTACAGGGCCCGGCTGATCATGCCGGGCATGACGATGAAGAACATGGGCAGGATCTTCAGGTAGCCCCCCAGCACGGAGCCCCCCTTGGCATGGGACAGACTCTTGGCAGAGAGAGACCTCTGCACGATGACCTGAAAAGGCGTCGGGGCAGGCGTGCCACCTGGGCCGGCTCAGGCTCTGCTCGGCCCTGGCGAGCCCTGGTGTGGTCTCTGACTGTGCCCCACACCCATCCCTGAGCCAGTCCCAGCCCTCTGTGCATCGGCACCCACAGGGGCCCTCCCGGTTGGTGGCGAGCTGGGCCAAGCGTGATAAGGGCATCACCTGGTCCGTGCACCAACACCATGTGGCCAGCACCGTGAGCCCAAACATGAGGCCTGGCCAGGGGAGGTCCCCGCTCACAGGGTCCCGGAGCATGTGGAAGGCGTCGGGCCGGGGGAGGTGACAGGTGGTGTTGGGGACTGTGACATTAGGGATGGCCTGCCTGTACCGCTCCTCCAGGCCTGGGTACCAGCCCACCTCCTGAAAGCCTGCAGGGAGAGACCTCAGTGAATGAAACAGCCCTGGGCCCCACTGGGCTTGTCACCTATCCCCACCCCCACCCCCACCCCCAAGAATTCTAGTCCTGTGTGGGATCCCTGAGCTTGGAACTCTTATGGAACATGGGGATGAGAGAGGGGAGTGGGGCTCAAGCTCAAGAGCCCTGGTTTGGTGGAGGGAGAATCCTGTTCTTTGGGAGCCTGCCTGGAGTGGAGAATGGCTCTATGCTGTGCAGGCCACAGATGTGACGGCCAGAGCCGGATCAGAGAGGAGTAGGGGGGGAGGGATGGATCAGAGAGGAGTTGGGGGGGAGGGATGTACTCAGGCCTCTTCCTTACCCAGAAACATGAGGACCAGGGCTCCCCCGACCATGATCACGGTCTGAAGAGTGTCTGTGTAGATCACGGCCGTGAGGCCCCCTGGGGACCCAAGGAGAGGGCGCGTCAGCACCAGCGGGGCCTTCCCCTCGGGGTGCCCGCCCTGTGCTCGGCCACACTGGGGAGACCAGAGAACACACGGGGCCCTCAGCCGGTGGACTCCGGCCTCTGCCTTCCCCGCCCCTCGCGCTCCTCCAGCCCGCCCGCAGGTGAGGCTGGTCATGGCCACAGGCCCTCAGGTCTTGCTCTTTCTGTCTGCTGTGCTTCTGTCATACACCAAGTCCCGTCCTTGGGTGCGCTATTAGCTCCCCCAGGAGGCCTCCCTTCCTTCCTCCCCACCCCAGCGCCCATTTAAACTCCCCCACACCTTAGGCAGCAGTAAGTCTGCCTGAGCCCACATCTTGGGCATTCAGGCCTGTGAGGGGCTCTGGAGGAGACAGGAGAAGGCAGGCTTGTGGCTGTTGTCTGGAGCAGCCTGTGGTGACTCTGGCCCCGTGACAGTCCCCCATTCATCACCCAGCTCCCTGCTCTCCATCTTTCTCTGTCTCTGAGCATCTCTCCTTCCCTGGCTCTCTTGGGCCGGCTCTGCTTCCTCCTGTTTCTTCCCTTTCTGACTCCCCTTTTCTCTGAGGCACTGTGTCTTTCCATCTTTTCCTCTGATTCTGCATCTTTGCCTGCCTCTCTCCTTCCTCCTCCTCCTTCTCTTTCTCACTCTCCCGGTCAGTTTTCACACCATCCCTCCCCGGACCTCTGTGCCCCTGCTGTCCGGAGCTTCCCCTTCCACCTCTCCCTGTCTCTGTTCCCAGCACCTGCACCCGACGTGACCTCCCCCTGGCCCTACCTGTGATGGTGTAGACGGCCGTCACCACCAGCAGGGTCACCGTGGAGAGGTAGAGGTTCCAGCCCAAGGCCATCTGGATGAACAGGGCTCCAGAGAAGATGTCAGTCTGCAGGGACAGGGGCCCAGGAGCCCAGGTCACCCGAGGCCCTCTGTGTGGCCACTGGGGAATGTCTCCTTCCTGCTCAGTGATGCCCCGTGCCGTCGGCCCTCAGAGCACACTGAGGATGAGCCTTAAGTGACGTGCTCGGGAGGACGGGCTTGGCCTGTGGACACTGAGGGGCCATTGGGATTGCAGAGCAGGGGAGTGCACAGTTCTGAGCCCGAGAGCCCTGCGATCCAGCTGCACTCCCAGCGGCGTGTGCGGGCGGTGAAGGATGGAGGAGCACGCTGAGGAAGTGAGGCAGGAGTGGGGGTCAGGAGGAGGAGGCCCCTGGGGGAGAGGGTGGGAACCCAGAGGGTCTCCAACTGCTCCCTGAAAGAGCACCAGCCCACTCGGACCTGATGGGGGCCCCAGGTGACCTGACAGAGCCGGAGCCCCAGTGCAGATGACACAGATCCTGGTTCCCCACGTGCTGGGCTTTACTGGAGGACTTGGGGTCACAGACTTGGCCAGAGCTAATTTAGAGTTGCTTACAAGCATTGGTGGAAAAGAGGCTGTATTTTTTCCAGCCCTGGACCCAGCGCATGCTTGCTGGTCCCTTTCCCTGAGTGTTTTGTGATCCATGACAGGGGCTGCAGGAGGCCTGGAATGGGCCTCGGGACCCAAACATTGCTTCCAGCCCCAGAGCTGGTGCTCTGTGCAGACCTCTGCCAATCGTTTGACCTGAGTTTGTCTTCTGAGTTTACATCAATCGAGGAGGAATATGTCCTTTTTAATGGTAACCTTCTCAGTGCTGAATGAAGACTAATGGGAAGATAAATGAGTGAATGAACTTGAAATTGTGAGTTCTTTGGATAGAGCAACTGTTATTCACTCAACAAACATTTATTGTCCATCTCTAATTACTCTGCTGCTGTCGGGGGAGCATGTGATAAAGGGGTGTGAATTCATCCTCCATGTCTATTATCCTTCCTCTATCCATCTAGGCATCCATCCACCCATCTATTCATTTATCCATCCATCCATCCATTTATCCATCTATCAATTTATCCATCCATCCATACATACATACAACAACAATGTGCTGTGCCCTCTACTAAACATCTTCAGAGACAAGAAATGGCCACTTGGGAACAGGTACTCACTGAAATCTTGGTGAAGATGTAAAGGATGAGAGAAAGGACAGACATGTACACCTGGATCCTCTGGCCCCCGAATCGCTTCTTCAGGTACTGAGGCATTGTGACCACACCGGCTGCAATGTACACGGGGACAAAGATCCAGCCAAGGGCCAGAAGCAGCCAGGTTGCCTGCGAGAATGGGGAGAAAAATGGATCCATGTTCTAAATGCGGATGGAGGAGGTGTGGTCCTTGCAGAGGAGAGCCCTGGGCGGGGAAGTAAGGGACCAGAGGCCTGATTTCAGTCCTGTGTGACCTCTGATGAGGCCCATCAGGTCTTGGTTTCCTTATCTGTAAAATGGGTTCTCCATTTACCATGCAGCCTCCCCAAGTACCTTTGAGGTTTCTCTTAGCACTAAGGTCAGGGACAGGGTAGGGTAGAGAAGGTTAAGACCCCCTCTATCCCTGAGAATCTTCCAGGCCAGCTTCCTTACATTCCACTCAAAGCCACCCACAGCAAGGCCTCCAGCAGCCCCCGTCCCAGCCAGGCCGATGAACAAGCCACTGCCCACATTGCTGGACATCAGAGATGCTCCTATCTGCAAGGCACAAGAGGGGTCAAAGGTCAGGGGTCAGTTTTTATCTGAATCAATTTGGAGTCAGGACTATGACTCCATCCCAGGATCTGGGATGGAGGCAGAGAGAGCAGAACCTGAACTCATAAATGTGAGACCAGAGGGAGGAGAGAAAATGGGGGAGCAATGAGGAGGCTGAACAGAACAGACATGTATTAGGCACTTACTGTATGTCAGGCATTGTACTGGGCATTTTGTATGCATTAAAACACTTAATCTCCACAAGCATTTGGAAGGATGGGTACTAATCTTTCCACTTTACAGAGGAAGGAGTTAATGTTAGGAGAAATGAAGTCACTGCCTCCAGAACACCCAGGGATTGAGAGGCAAAGTGGGAAAGAAGAAAAGACATGGAAAGCAAGGTCCATTAAGGAGCATGAAGCTCTGCTCTGGGGCCATGGGTCTAAGGGTCCCAGAGAGAAGAAGGCTAACGGGAGGAGAGTCCCCCATGAGAGGGATGGGGGAGGCCCTCTGCCACCCCTTTCCTGCAGACTCCAGGGGAGGGCCAGGCTCCTCCTCCTCAGGGGAGGAGCCACGGGGGCCAGCCCCTGAGTTAATTTTTCTCCTGGAGGCAGCTAACTACTCCGAGGCAATGCTGTTAGACCGATAATGATGACAGTCACAGCGGTCCGTACACCAGCAGCATTGCCAAGTACCAAGTTCTGTTCTAAATACAACAACTCACTGACTGCTCATGACAACCCCAGGCGGAAGGTTCTGTTATCATCCCCATTGTTCTTGGGGAGACTGAGGCACAGGGAAATAACTTGCTCAAGTTCCAGAACTAATCAGTGACAGAATGAGGATTTTGACCCTGGCCATCTGCTCCAGTAACCACTGCTTGATGGGTGTCAGGCAGTTAGTAAGCATTTGTCAGTGTTATCTTTCAGACAGGATCATTACTGGTAAGAGGAGGGGCTGCGGGCTGGAGGGGAAGAGCCAGTCTTGGACCCTGTGTCACCTTAATAAAACCGCGGCGCTGGGCAGCAGGAAGTGAGAAGGAAAGCACTGAGACATTCAGAGAGGAAGCAGCCATGGAAAGGCACAACGATATTGACCCATCTGACCTAGCTGAGGACTTTGAGCCACCCTGCTGCCCACACGTACCCCCTCCCTCTGTCTGGTGGTCCTGGGATGCTGCAGCTGGGCTGGACTGCTGGCCAGAGCACAGAGCATTGGGCCTTCCACTTTGGAGGAAGAGGCTCCCCAGGATGCTCTCGGGACAGCGAGGTGTCTCACCTCCACCCTGCCCAGGGCTCCTAACTCATCACTCAAGGAGACACCCACAAGGTCAGCAGGGGACCCGCATGACCCCTCCGAGACAAGGATGCTGCTGCCCCCTCTGCCCTTAACACCCAGCCACACTGCTCTCAGGACACAGGGAGGGGAACCAGGCACTTCTCGGGACTGGCTGAGTAGGGAAGCGGGCTAGTTGCTGGCCAGTCATCACAGACACCAGAAACACACATTCCAGCGGGGCAGAGGGACCAAGAGTCCCCATCCGCGGCTGGTTCCGCCCCAGACTCAGACTGAAGCTGCTCTCCGTGCAGTTGGCTCAGCTCCAGCCCTGTCCCCCAAGGAGGGAGCCCCACATCCTCTTTCCCACGGGGTGCACATTCCTAGACCTGGCTCCACCTCCATCTTTGGGGCACCCTGTCCTGCTCCAAAGCCTTGGCTTTCCCCACACCCCAGAGCTCTGTTCTCCACAGGACTGAACATCCAGGCCAGCCCCTGCTCACCCTCCTGAGTGGACCAGAGGAAACGTGCCGGTCCTCATCTGTCCTTCTCACAGACTCACTTCCAGGGCTGCAATTTAGGGTTGGGGGTGGGGGCACAAGCTGAGCAGAACGGCCCCAAGGGGTTCTCATTATTCTGGTGAGGGGGTGCTGGCAGCACCAGGGACCCTGCCCCTGTCCCTGTGAGCTGCCAGGCACACAGCCCCCACACCCCTGGGGATTCTGTCATACTCCTGCCTGCACCTCTCCTTGTCCCAGACACTGAACCTTCCAGAAAGCCCTGTGGGCCTCCTGGGTTCCTCTGCTCTTTGGTGAGTCTGAGACCGCTCTTTGGGTTGGGAAGCTGGTGAGAATCAAGACAGGGGTTTGAGTGTGTGGGTGTGTGTGAGTCCATCAGGCATGCCTGGGCATCTGCCCAGCTTCAGTGGTCCCCAGGGGCTGACTTCTCCACTGTTAGTTTTGAGGCAGGGCTCAACTCCCTCCGTCTTATTTCAGGAAGAGGAAGCTAGCCTGGAGGACCGAGAGAAGCAAGTGGGGAGGCCTGATGGGAGGGCCTGGTCTTCACAAAGGCCTCAGGATGGTGGAATTTTACTTCTAGGATTTCCTTCCCTGAACTGCAGTATTTATGCGTCACTTTCCCAAGAAAATCTTTCCTAAGCCCACTTCCACGCTATCACAGGCCCCATGCTCCCCTCCGGCTGAGCAGCCATCAGGTTTTTTGAGTCTGTCTTCCTGGCTCAGTTCTGAGCCCCGCTAGAATAGGAACACTCTGGGTGGGCTCTGTAGGTCCAGCGTCCTGCCCGGGACCCACACTTAGGAGGCACCCAGTGGATGCGGGTCCCAGTTGTGCATTTGCAACCTCTCTCAGGATGCCAGGTGTCTCTGGACCTGAGGGAAGGAGTCCAGAGCCAGGAAACCCCTCGGAGGCTGTAGCCTTGGTCCAGATGGGAGAAGATGAGGTGGGACTGGGAGGTAGGGGGAGGGGAAGGAGGAAGGTGAACTCACTGGCCACCAGCTCATGGACCTCCCCGCCAGGAAGTAGCCACCAATGGTCCCTCGGCTCGCACGAATGGACGACTGGAAAGGAAACAGCAAGAGTGAGGAAATCCCGAGCCTCCCCAGGCTCTGCACTCTGCCCCAGATTCCCTGCCCTGTGGTTGCTGGCACTGTGGGGACATGGAGTGGGAACCGAGGCTAGAGGTTTCACCATCTTTAAGCTATGGGGTTTTGGTGGGGTCAGCTGCTCTCTCTGGGCCCCCTTGCTCATCACATCACCCGCCAGGACTGGTGCAAAGAACAAAGGAGCTAATGGGGGGAGTGCTGTGTTGGAGGTGGGGCGGGGTGTGTGAAATGCCCCACTGAATGCACGGCACTGTGCCTGTGACCAGATTACTGGCATGTCCTCTTGTGCACTATCCTGCCCTCCACCCCATCCAAATATTGCTTCAGGAAGTGAGTTGGGGTCTCATCCTCAGGCTACAATGGTGGGGAGACCGCCCTGCTCCCTCCACCCAGCCAGACTCCCATCCTGGGGGCTGAGAGGATGCAAAAAACTTGGTCCCCAGACAGAGGCAGGGCTCTGCCAGGGGCAGGAATGGGGGGTTTCTCCTGCCCCTGCCTCAAGTCAGATCACATCACTGAGGCCCACCCAGGACCCTGGAGCAAACCCTGTCCTGCACCAGGAGGGGGTCAGTGGCTGCCTTTTTGAAGAATTACTCTGAGGACTGAAAGGGAGTGAGGAATGAAAGAACTTTCTCTCAGAATGCAGAAAGTGAGACAGGGTAGAGGGTAGGGGGGATAAAGTTAAAGCCATTATTAAGATGCGAGACTTGGACTATAAAGAATTCATACTTTTGAATTGTGGTGCTGGAGAAGACTCTTGAGAGTCCCTTGGACTACAGGGAGATCAAACCAGTCCATCCTAAAGGAAATCAACCCTGAATATTCATTGGAAGGACTGATGTGAAACTCCAATACTTTGGCCACCTGATGGGAAGAGCCGACTCATTAGAAAAGACCCTGGTGCTGGGAAGGACTGAAGGCAGGAAGAAAAGGGGATGGCAGAGGATGAGATGATTAGATAGCATCACTGACTCAACAGACATGAGTTTGAGCAAACTCTGGGAGATAGTTAAGGACAGGGAAGCCTGGCGTACTGAAGTCCATGGGGTCACAAAGAGTCAGACATGACTTAGTGACTAAATAAATTAAGATGCTGAAGATAGTAAATGTCTGGTTGGGTCTACAGACATCAGAAATGCCTGAGGACTGGAAGAAAGAAGGGAAATTGAAAGAAGCATCTGTTCCCTTGAGAGAAAGGCATATATTACTCAGTAGGGCAGGACTGCTGTGCAGGGCCTTGTCAAGCCTTTTCTTGGACTTTCGGTGTCACCCATGGTCCTCGGGAAGGATAGATGAACAGGAAGAATTTACATTACAGATGAGGAAATTGGGGTCCCCAAATGGGAAGCAATTTGTCCAAAGTCATGAAGGATAGGAGCTGGTGATTCTCACGACCATGGTCTCCTGGGAGCCAGGGAGCCTGTTTGCCCCATTCTTCCTCACACACCTTGGGAAGCAGGGACTGCTTGTCCCACTTTACAGATGAGGAGACTGAAGCCCAGAGAGGGTTCTTGGCCTTGCCACAGCCTCGTAAGTGACCAGATGGGACTCAGATCCCTCTCGGTCTCACAGTGGAGTCTAAAGGTGCTGGCATTTCCCTCGATTGCTGCGGAGACAATAGGGGTCATTTACTGCTGCAGGCTGTGTGTTGGGCACTGTACCAGATCTGTGTCATGTTCCTAAACCAAGTAGTCCTTTTTATTCTCATTGTCTGAGTGAGAAAACTAAGGCTCTGTAGTATATTCCCAGGGCCACGCTGCCTTAACCGTTGGAGTTGGCATCTGAACTCAGGGCTCCCAGTCCTCCAAGCCTGGCCCCCATTCGTGGCACCAAGGCTCTGGTGAACACTGGAGACCAGAACCCACTGGGAACCACCTGACTCCCTTCCCATGAGCACACTTGCCCCAACTCTTTTGGAAAGCTCAGCTCCACACCAAGATGCTGTCCAGTGGAGGGCGTGGCAGGGTCAGGAGTCAAGCACTCTCAGAGTTGGGGATCCTGGCATGAGGAAGACGGCAGGAATGGGACTCAGGGGGCCAAGTGTGCGTGGGGTCAAAGGCATCAGATGCACAGAGACAGCGAGTCCAGAGACTGGGGTTCAGGCCTGGCCTGCTTCGGGTTCACTGTGTGAGCTCAGACAAGTCAGCCCTCTCTGGGCCTCAGTTGCCCATCTCTCAATGGAGGGGTTGAGAGGGTGATCCTCCATTAAAGTCCTTCTGCAATGGTGCCTGTGCTTCCCAGACATGCCTGCTTTCTGCCACCCCTGCCCCCAGGTCCACGACCGGCCGCAGATGAGAGCCGGTCTCTGCCTCCCCTGCCAACCTCCAACCTCCAGGCTACTCACCCAGACCCCTACTCCGATGACGAAGACAAAGTAGACGACTAGGACAGTGATATCATAGGCGTGCAGGCTGACTCCGGGACCCGGCGCTGAGCGTGGAATAGTCGCAGTGCTGACCCCACTTCCTGAAGCTCCAGGCCCCATTGCTGCCAGCTCCATGCTCATCTGCTAGTCAGTCACAACCAGACTGGACTTTGAGGTGCTCCTGGCTTCATTCCTTTCCTATAATGATTAAACAGGCCCGAGCACCATTGGCCGCTGAGCCATCCCTGCCTGAGCCCCACTGGCACATAAAGTCCTGATACTCCCGCCCCTTTCCCCTAACTGCCAGCCAGGCCCTCCCGTTCCCTGCAAACACACACACACACACCCACACACACACGTGCACGCACACACACACACGCACACACCCACACACACACGTGCACGCACACACACACACATACTTCCACCCCTGAGAGGAGCGGGAGTAGGAGGAAAAACAGGAGGAAAAGAGCAGGGTCCTGGCGACCTGAACTGGTCAGGGGGCTGGGGGGAGACTTCAGAATCAAAATGCTCAAGGTCATGCTTGTGTGGACAGGGAACAGAAGCCCAGGAAGGGAAAGGTACCCCAGAAATAAAGGTGAAGCTGAGCCTGGAGTTGGGGTGTCTTAATGGTCAGATCCATGCACATTCCTTATGCCCAGAGGAAGAGATGCAGGGAGAAGGGGGGTCCTCTGTGACCCTTGCAAAGGGTCTACCGTGTCATGTGCTCCTACCTCCAATACACCCAGGTATCATTTTCCTTTTTTCAGGATATAGGAAACAAGCCTGGGCAGAGACATGGTTTCCTCCAAGCTACAGAGCAAGGCAAAGATTCACACCTGCTGCGTCTGCACTCCTGCCCTGTGCTGTGACAAGAAGTGCTCCTGGACAGGACAGAGGGCCACACCCCCAGGTCCAGGGAAAGATGCAGGTGCCCTGAGACATGGAGTCAGGGGACGGGGGCTCAGGCCAGGCCTGAGACCTGCGCAGCCTGCTTTTAAGTTCCAGCTGCACGTCTCCAAGAGCAGGCTGACCGTGGGCAGGCTGCTCAGTGGCTCTGAGCCTGGTGTCCTCCTCAAGGAGCCCTCACATTGCTACTGAGTTTGAGATGCGCTCCCGAGAGCCTCTGCAAACCCTGAGTCATTGCCCGCTCTTGGGCAGGCCGGGGGGGCCACACCAAGAAATGGACAGGAACCCCCAAGGGGCCCAGGCACCAGGCACACAGGTGTGCCCATACTGCCCTTTGAAAGTTGCTTAATTTGGGACATTTCAGTATTGGGGGCATCTGCTCTGCATTTGGTTGCACACTCAGGAGTCCGGGGTCTAGGCCAGAGGAGCAGGGGGCCCTGTTCACTGCCATCCACACCCAACCCAGCACCCTGTGAGGATTCCAGGCCAGATGTAGAGGGCCAGGCCCTCTTCTCTCCCCTTTTGGAGAAAGGGAAGTGAAACATAGCTCCTGGGACACCTCTCCTCCTAGCTCCTTGGACCCCTGGCTCAGAACATCAGGCATAGGCCATGCTGAGCTCAGGGACAGGCCACTGCATTGGGAGAGAGGCTGGAGTAGACTCAGCTGTGGGCGCGGCTCCGGAGGCCAGCACCCATTAGTGTCTGATGCCAGAAAGGGAGAGAGGTGACTCCAAGTCTTTACAGAAGAAGGGTCCTCCCTGCTCATGTTTAGAGATGAAGCCGAGTTCTCTGGGCCCCATGTTGTCTGGGGGTGAGCTGTGTAGAGGCTACTAGGCTGGCCACACAGTTGTGTTAATCAGGGAGGGAGGGAGATGTCTGAGCTCAGGCTCCTCAACCATGGTAAGGAATCCAGACTGATTACTCCAGAGAAGAGGAGTATAGTGGGGAGATGACCTGAGTCACTTCCTCCTATGCCCACCACCCAAGGGGCCCACCCTGACCCTTGGGGTTCTGCTGCTCATGCACTAGCCCCCCAGTCACCCCTCACAGATACCTGAGGCTGAGCTGCAACCCACTGGACATTTTTGTTGTTCAGTCACCAGATTGTGACCGACTCTTGCAACCCCATGGACTACAGCATGCCAGGCTTCCCTGTCCTTCAGTATCTCCCGGAGTTCCTAACCCCAAATGAATTGGTTTGGGCTGACTTCAAGCCACTCCTGTGAACTATCTGTTAGGTCATCAGGCAACTTGGAGATTCAGAGCCTAGAGAGTGTGGAGGGTGGAGGGCTGAGGATGCAAAAGGCTGTGAAACCACCAGAATGGATATCATAAAGCCTCTGCTCAAACCTCAAGCCTTTGCCGTATCACTGAGCCCTGAGGCCCCAACTCGGGCCTGGCAATTGTGCTTTGGCATTTATGTTCCCACTCACAATCTGTTGGAAACAACAGTTTAGCAGGAGAGAAGCTGCCTGAGGCAGGCAGGGCTGCACAGGAATAGCTGGGAGAATTGCTACTTATGTCCAGACAGTGCACTAGTCATCATTAAAACCAGGCAAAGCACAAAGTGCAGGCCCAGCTGGGGCAAACAGACCTAGAAAGTAGGGCAAATCAACCCTCGACCAAGGCACTCTTGGGTGGCAGCTGAGGATTCAAACGCCTGTTGATGACCTTCACTATCCTTCAATTTGCTCAGATTCATGTCCGTTGAGTTGTCGATGCTATCTAACCATCTCATCCTCTGCCACTCCTTTCTCCTTTTGTCTTCATTTTTCTCAGCAGCAGGGTCTTTTCTAATGTCTCTTCACATCAGGTGGCCAAAAGATTGGAGCTTCAGCTTCAGCATCAGTCCTTCCAATGAATATTCAGGGCTGATTTCCTTTAGGATTGACTGATTTGATCTCCTTGAAGTCCAAGGGACTCTCAAGAGTCTTCTCAGTACTGCAATTCAAAAGCATCAATTCTTAAGCACTAAGCCTTCTTAAGGGTCCACCTCTCATCCATACATGACTACTGGAGAAGCCATGGTTTTGACTATACAGACCTTTATTGGCAAAGTGATGTCTCTGTTTTTTAATATGCTGTCTAGGTTTGTCACAGTTTTTCTTCCAAGGAGCAAGCATCTTTTAATTTCATGGCTGCAATCACCATCCACAATGATTTTGGAGCCCAAGAAAATAAAATCTGTCACTGCTTCTGTGTTTCTCCCACCTACTTGCCATGAAATGATGGTACTGGGTGCCACAATCTTAGTTTTTTGAATGTTGAGTTTTAAGCCAGCTTTTTCACTCTTCTCTCTCATCCTCATCAAGAGAGTCTTTAGTTCCCCTTCACTTTCTGCCATTAGAGTGGTGTCATCTGGATATCAGAGGTTGTTGCAATTTCTCCTGGCAGTCTTGACTCTAGTTTGTGTTTCATCCAACCTGGCATTTCACTTGATACACTCTGCATGTAAGTTAAATAAGTAGGATGACTATATACAGTCTTGTCGTACTCCTTTCCCAATTTGGAACCTGTCAGTTGCTCCACATCTGGTTCTAGCTGTTTCTGCCTGGCCTGCAAACAGGTTTCTCAGGAGGCAGGTAAGGTGGTCTGGTTATTCCCATGAGGAGACTTTACAAATAGCTGAGAAAAGAAGTGCAAGGCAAACGAGAAAGGGAAAGATACACAAAACTTAATGCTAAATTCCTGAGAACAGCAAGGAGAGATGAGAAGGCCTTCTTCAAAGAACAATGCAAAGAAATAGAGGAAAACAGTAGGATAGGAAAGACTGTAGAGATCTTGTTGAGAAAACTGGAGATATCAAGGGAATATTTCATGCCAGAATGGGCACGATAAAGGGCAGAAACAGTAAGGACCTAATAGAAGCAGAAGAGATTAAGAAGAGGTGGCAAAAATACACAGAAGCACTACACAAAAAAGGTTTTAATGACCTGGATAACCACGATGATGCAGTCACTCACTTAGAGCCAGACATCTGGAGTGCAAAATCAAGTGGGGCTTAGGAAGCATTACTACCAACAAAGCTAGTGGAGGTGATGGAATTCCAGCTGAGCTAATTAAAATCCTAGAAGATGATGCTGTTAAAGTGTTGCACTCAATATGTCAGCAGATTTATAAAACTCAGCAGTGGCCACAAGACTGGAAAAGGTCAGTTTTCATTCCAATCTCAAAGAATGGCAATACTAAAGAATGTTCAGACTTTTATACAATTACACTCATGTCACATTCCAGTAAAGTCATGCTCAAAATCTTCCAAGATAGGCTTCAACAGTACATGAACCAAGGTGTACATGCTGGGTTTAGCAAAGACAGAGGAACCAGAGATGAAACTGCCAAGGTCTGTTGGATCATAGAAAAAGCAAGGAAATTCCAGAAAAACATCTACTTCTGCTTCATCGACTACACTAAAGCCTTGTGGATCACAAAAAGGCTCTGTAAGGAGTAAATAAAAGTATTTTGTGAATATTTCTCTGGATGTATCTTTGTTATATTTTCCCAACAAAAAGGGGGCAAGGTGTTGGGGGTTGCTTCCCCATTGCCCCAATATTTTGAATAGAGGGGCTTTGGCAGGGAAACTTGGAGAGCTTGGTGCATGTCCCTGCAGCTGGGGTCACCGCAGTCTGCCTCAACCTGAAGCATGTAGAAGGCAGGAGCTGTGGCTGCCCAGCTGCTTCCACATGGGGTGGACAGGAATTATCAGTGTGGGATTGACCTGTACCCTGAGGTGGAGCAAAGAGTGCATGGATGTTTTCCTCCTGTGTATGTGTGTGTACTAGGTATGGATCACATGCATGAAAAAGACAGCATGGGGACCCTCCGAGACCCTGTCCAATGGACCACCTGGAAGGGCCTGGGGCTTCAGCTGGAAGAGTTGGGCAGTGAAGCTCCAGATTCCTGGAAGCCGTGGAAGAATGGATTAGGGATGTGGTGTGGAGGCAGGGTGCCCTGGGAGGCTCTTCCAACTGAGCGAACCCCAAGTGGACCACAGGAGCACCCACAAGGAAGAGTCAGACTAAAACTTGTTAGGTCATGAGCTGAGCCACAGCCTTTAAGTCAAAACCTTCCTGCCCCAATTTCTCCTCTTTGGCACTGCAGGTCCTGGGGAGCAGCAGGATGAGGGGAGTGAGAAAAAAGCAAGTCAGCGATATTCTGTCTTCCCAAGGCAGGCCAGCCTGCAGCCAGCCCAACTGAGGGCAGGAACTGCAGGGAGAAGCCTTAACTTCAAGTGAAGAAAGGAGTGTGGAATAGGACATGGTACTGGGGGTTATAATTTCTGAATAATATCTGTGCTGTCAGAGTTAAAGTGACAGTGGGGTGTTGTCATGGTTTAAATGTAACCAGGATACTGACAGAACAGCCTGAGTCTTAGTTTTGGGGTGAAGGAAGAAATACACCCCGCTGAACAAGCTGCTCACATCAGTTGCTTGAGACAGTTGCTTTTCGAATCTCACTCCCTGCATCCTCTTTACCCCATGTGTTGTTGTTGTTTAGTTGCTAAGTCATGTCCGACTCTTTTGCAACCCCATGGACTGTAGCCCACTAGGTTTATCTGTCTGTGGGATTTTCCAGCAAGAATACTGGAACAGGCTGCCAGTTCCTTCTCCAGGGGATCTTCCTGGCCCAGGGATCAGACCTGCATCTCCTGCATTGGCAAGTGGATTCTTTACCACTGAGTCACCAGAGAAGCCCCAAGAGTAGTTCACAGTAAATGGAAGATCACTCCCCTTATTGCTGGCACCTGCAGCCTGGGTCTCCCTTAGGCTTCAGGATGTGCCCTCATGGAAGGTTCTGGAGCCCAGAGTTCTGCTTGGACTCCTGGGCCAGCTACTCCCACTAGCCTCATGAGCTTGTTCCCAAAATGCCAGTCCAGTGGGACAGCTCACCTCTCCTATCTCCCTATCCTCATGTGCTTGGGTTTGCCCGGCTCCTTCCCAACCTTCTGCTCCTCTGCTCACCTCCAACATCCACAGGGCCCATGGTGAGCAAGCACATCTCTATCCTCGAGCTCATCACTGCTAACCCGCCATCCTCTGCCATAGTGACCAGTTTGTCCCACGGCACCTTCATCCTTGGTTACCTGCTCATTTGGAAGCTCTTCCTTCTCCCGAGCCCCTGGAGCTGGGGTCAGAGCTCAGCATGTGCTTCCTCAATCCTGCACTGAACACGTGCCACTCCCAACAGGGCCGTGCCGACCAGGTCTTGGTCTGTTCTGTGTCCTCCGTCATCATCATTTCTTGGAAGTCCTCTCTGACTCCCAGTCTGGGGAATGTCCACAGTCCCAGCCTCCACCCCTGTTTATCTCCCTGAAGGTACTTGTCAATTTAGGGCGTGTCTCTCTTAGATGTGGAACCTGTGTATCTCATTCACATTTGTGTCCCCAGTGATGGGCAGAATCAATGCACTGATTGTGGAAACTGTCTAACACACGGTGTTGGAGCGAGGAGGTAGGAGCAGGGGGCAGGGGCAGGGGGAGGGCCTCCAGGCAGAGGGGCCAGTAGGCACAGAAGAGTGAACAGCGGTGATGCTTTCAGGGGAGGGCTTGCGGTGCGCCTGGCGCAGGGTCTACAGGGGGGCTGGGGGATGCCAGAGGAGACATGGTGTTGAGACTGGCAGTTTAGAGAACCCCTCTGGGGCCAGCATGGGGGTGGATGGGGCTGAGGAAGCTGGCACAGAGGTTCAGGCACAGATGAGCCCCTAGTTGAAAGGTTGGAGGGCACAAGGTCTGGGCTCTTCTTACTGAGCCGGAAGCATGCAGACCTTTGTGGCTTCCTCTCCCCTGGGGTTCCTACCCCACCTGTGATGCCAAGGTCCAGAATCCTCCATGCCAGGGTCTCCAGCCCTTGGCAGACCTTCCACTCAGCTCCCCGCACCTGCAAATACTTATCCCTAACACGGAGCTATGGATGAGAAGCAGCCCTGGGTTTGTTCGAATCCTAAAGGGACTGACTAACCAACGACACCTTTGACTGAGGGAGTGAAGCTCTAAAGGTGAGATCCTGACCTTGAGAATGAAATGCTGACGCAGAGGGGGCTCTCAGAGCCCGGAGCCCAGTCCACACTGTGGAGGCTGAGTTTTCCATGTGGAAGGAAACCCCTTTCATGCTGCTGCCTGGACATTCCTGTCTCCTTGGGGTGCTCCCAGGCCCAGGAAGAAACCAGGGCACATGGTGTTATTCTGGCTGGCACCACCTGGCTACTTGCAAGTTCTTCCTGAAAAACCACTCTCAGCAGCCAACGTTCCTGCTGAGAACTTCCTCTTCCAGAACAACAGGAGGTAAGGGCTAATATCTACCAGCAGCAGATTTGTGTAGCTCACAACCCCAATACAACCACCGTTTTGTATTAACTGAATGAGCTGGTTTTCTCATCACTATTTTACAGGTGAGAGGCTGAGGTTCACTGGTGACGTCCTGTAACTGTGGCTTGTTTGGGTTCTGAATTCAGGCCTGACTGACACATCACCCTTTTGTCCTAGTTCTGTGTCTACAGGGAGAGAGATGAGGTTTATCCCTTCTCAGGGTGGGTAGGAAACTGTTTCATTTTTTCTCTTCCTTTAGGGGCTCTGAGAGGGGACAGGAGCCCCCCTGGGTCTGCGTCCTGATTCCAGAGACCTATTAGCCCCCTTCCTGCCACCCCAGCTCCCAGCCACCCTTCTTTCCCTGGCCACCTCTGCCCCCTTCCTGCCAGTGTCCTAGCCCTCAGCCCACGTGGTCTGGTGATGCTATTGTTTTTTCACATGCTCCTCTAAATTAAAACTCAATTGCAATTCCACTTAACTGATCCCAGTCACTCACTGAGCACACTCTGGGCCAGGCCCTCTGTCAGGGCTGTCCCATCGCACAACTCCAGGGGGCACCATTCCCAAGAATGCAATGTCAATGGTACCTGGGGCAGTGGCTGTGCTCTGCATTGGGCAGAGAGAGGAGAGCAGGCCTAATCCTGGAAGAGGGGCTGTGATAGAGGAGAAAATTACGCCATCTGTGCAGGCCGGGGGAGGCACTAAACTCTTCATGGGGCCTCCAACCCCAGCCTCCAATGGGCCAAGTCATTTGGACTGTGCCCAGGTCCAGATCATACCTACTCCCAGAGTCCCAGGTAGGATGGGGGCTCATGTGGACAGGCCGGAGACTTAATTGCAAGAAGAAAAGATTGCCATCTATATAGGGAGGTAAGAGTAAGAAAGATGATGACAGAGACCCAGGGATGGAGAAAGGAGAGGAAAGAAAAAGAAGGAAGTAAACACACTCATCACTAAATGATCCCTGTCAGACCCCTACCTGCACAGCGCAGCCTGGAACCTCCAGAGATCAGTGTCTGGGCCTCAGCTCTGGGCAGAAGCTCCCAAGTCTGATGTGACTCTGACCTGGCTTCTGAAAACTCAAGTCCAGGACGTGGACCAGCCTGGCTCCTCCCCCTGGTGATGAAATCTCACTCCAGCCCACTGGGCCCAGGGTTCTGAGGGACAGTGCCTGTCCTTACTTCCCGATGTTGAACTTGAGAAAGAGACCTTGTCCTGGACTCGGGGCTCTCCCCACCCCCAGGGTCAGATCTGAAGCCTACCGCTCAGAGTTAGCTGCTGTGGCTGCCATTGTCCCCACACGCCTGGTAAACAGGTTTCTTAAGAGGAGGGGTGGGGCCGACACGTGGTAACCGGGGCTTTGTCTGGAGCACGGAAGAAGGTCTTGGCTCGGGGCCACAGCCCATGCCCAGGTGTGATTGGCACATGCTTGTGCTGTTCCCTGAGCTCCCGGGGAAGTCCCAAATCCCTGAAGTAGCGGAGCCAAGACTTGGAGTCATAGTATGAGTCCCGGTTCTGCTGCTCACTAGCTTACCTGTGACGGGAGAATCATTTAACCCACGAAGGCCAAGATTTTGCATCTGCAAAGTGAGGCAATAATAGGTACCTCTTAAAGAGTTAGGATTATTAAGTGAGATAATGTGTATGCAATGAGATGTTGAAATGGGACAATTTCTGTCTCAGTTTTGGCTGAGGTCCAATGGATGAGGACAATATAATAGGTGCCAAGTATCCACCCTGGAATTCTAAAAGTGAGTCAGGACACCCAGGGAGTCATGCCATGGAGACCATGGCAACAGCTAAGCTCAGGGCACCTGCTGCCCCAGCCCCAGCCACTCCCCTGGCACTGAACACTCACCCCGAGGTCTCACTTGCCCTGGCATTCTTGGCCCGTGACTGAGCTCAGATGACTGGCCCTTTCCTGCAGGAGGTGTGGCTCAAATAATGGCACTTTTGGCTGGAGGACACTCCATGGGCCAGCTGAAATTTTATTCGAACTGAGCTAGAATCCCATGACAATTGCTTTGCAAAAAGTTGTTGGAGTGACCTGCGGACCCTTCCCGCTTCCCCTTCGGCAAGGGGGTGGAGGCGGCGAAAATGAGAGAGGAGTTTCGGAGGGTCTGTGCAGAACTGTATGTGTGTCCAAGATGGTCTGGGCTGGGGGCATCAAGAAAGGAGAGACACCAGCAGGATAGGCCAGGGTCTGGAGCACGAAAGCTGGACAGTCCCACTGTCAGGAGACCGCAGAGAGGGTTCTGGCTCGGGCACACGGGGCTAGAGTGGGTGTTTAAGGCCTTGGCTGCATGGCCCTTGCCCTTCCTGCTCCTCCAGGGGGTCCGCTGACTGACAGATCATTCCCTTCCTCCCCGCCTCTCCTCAGGCTGCTCTTTGCTGCCTTTCTAGTGGCCAGGTTGGGGGACCATGTGCACCCCATCAGAACACTAACCACTCTGGATTTTTCCTGGCTATGTCCCCAGCTAGGGTGACAACAGCTCTGATGGGCCACTGTGAGCTAAGACCCTGAGCAGCCTGGGGGCTCCCGAGGACTCAGTGAAAGGACCAGTGAAAGCAAATTAGAGTCCTTGCTCAGAGAATGCCAGTCGCTGTCCAAGGTCAGGAGGCAAGCCATTGGTGAAGCAAGGCTTGAGCACAGTATCCCGATGTCTAAGCTGGACTTCCTCCTGCACTGGGCTCTGAGAGACTCTCCAGCCCATTCCCACTGCTCCAGTAACCAGCTAGGCCCCACACCTGCCAGACTGGACCAGGCTTCTCACCTGGATTTTATTCTGCAGTTAGAAGCCTGATCGCCTGTGAGGAGCTGTCAGCGTTATGTGCCAACAACTGGAAAGAAGGAGTCTCACCGAGGGAGAGATTTGCCCCTTGTAAGGCATCACAAACTCAATGGACATGAATCTCAGCAAACCTCAGGAGATAGTTAAATGACGGGGAAGCCTGTCATGCTATAGTCCAAGGGGTTGCAAAGAGTCGGATACAACTTAGCGACTGAACAACAACAAGAGGGTGTGTGATGCTGGCTCTGTTAGACTCCATAGTGTGATGCTTAGACTCTGACACTCTGGTTGGTCTGCAGCATACACCCCTCCTCTCTTTTCCCTGCAGAACTTATCTCTGGAAGTTCACCTGCTTCGGTAGGTCTCCTGGCTCCCCTGTGCTGAGGCTGGCAAATGTAATGGGGGGAAAATTGCCTTTGTGTCATGTAGCAAATGGAGGTGTACCATATCTCAGTGGCCTCACCAAGCCTGTTAGGTTTCAGGAAAGCCATCTGTCCTAGGATGGGTTTCTAAGCTGTCACTGACCCCAGTCAGGCACTGATCGATAAGTGATCAATCAATCAATCATCCATTAGTTTTAAATTATCAGCACTCACCAAGTTTCTGCTGTATATCCAATCCTGTGCTTGACCTGTGATTGACAGAAATAAAGCAGATCTTAGATGCCTTACTTTAAGGAAATTGAGCTGAAGAGCTCAGAGGTGGGGACAGAGAAAAGGATGAGGGATTTGAAATAAGACAGGGGTAGGTATGAATGACAGCACTTTAGCACTGTGCCTGGTGACTGTGGACAAGTGAATTCACTTATTTTAGGCTCAGCGTTCAGGATCCCTGGCTTGCTTGTGAATACTAAAGAGAGAATAGAAAATACTTTCCCCACTATTGCATCCATGGGAAATGCTCTGTTGGTGGTGTCAAATGCAGGATGAATGCACACAACTATAACTATTTAAACTGAGATAGGGATTCAGAGAAGGAAGATAGTCATGTGTGAATTATAAGGTCTAGGCTTTTAAAGCGGATAATTCAGACAAATCTGAGTCTGGGGCTAGGCCCCTGAAATATACTTTTCAGAATGTGAAGTACAACAGACGACCACAAGGGGGAGACACAGGACAAATTTTAGCATCTTCCAGTCCACCATCCTGGGCAGAGAAATCGATGCTGTTGTTCAGTCGCTCAGCCCTATCTCACTCTTTGCCACCCCATGGACTGCAGCATATAAAGCCTCCCTGTCCTTCACCATCCCCTAGAGCCTGCTCAAACTCATGTCCATTGAGTCAGTGATGCCACCCAACCATCTCATCCTCTGCTGTCCCCTTCTCCTCCTGCCTTCAATCTTTCCCAGCATCAAGGCCTTTTCCAATGAGTCAGCTGTTTGCATCAGGTGGCCAAAATATTGGAACTTAGCTTCAGCATCAGTCCTTCCAATGAATATTCAGGACTGATCTCCTTCAGGATGGACTGGTTGGATCTCCTTGCAGTCCAAGGGACTCTCAAGAGTCTTCTCCAACACCACAGTTCAAAAGCATCAATCCTTTGTTACTCACCCTTCTTCATGGTCCAACTCTCACATCCATACATGACTACTGGAAAAAACATAGCTTTGACTAGATGGCACTTTGTTGGAAAAGTAATGTCTCGGCTTTTTAATATGCTGTCTAGGTTGGTCATAGCTGGTCATAGTTGGTCATAGTCTTCTAAGGAGCAAGTGTCTTTTAATTTCATGGCTGCACTCACCATCTGCAGTGATTTTTGAGCCCAAGAAAATAACGTCTGTCACTGTTTTAATTGTTTTCCCATTTTCCATGAAGTGATGGGACCAGATGCCATGATCTTAGTTTTTTGAATGTTGAGTTTTAAGACAGTTTTTTCATTCTCTTCTTTCACTTTCATCAAGAGGCTCTTTAGTTCTAATAAGTGAGGAACCAATAGGTGAGAATTCTTTCTTCACTCCCTCTCACACCCATGTTTAATCAAAGTTAAACTCCCATAGACAATATCTGTACACAGATGGGGGATTCATTTTTCAATTGCAACAAGATGTCAAAAGTTATCTGAGACATTTCTGGCATATAGGAGCCAGTGTGTCAGAGAAGTTTCTGAATCTTTCTCTGATTTTGTTCACATTTTCTGATCAACTCTCTCAATATCTCTCTAAAATATGTAAATATCTAGTGTTTTCTGTATTTCTCTGAAACTTTTGGGACACCGACTATCGTCCTGAAATATTCTGAAACTCCTTGAAATGCTGACTTTCTGTAAGTCTATAAAATTATAAATCTCTACGTTGTTGTTATTGTTCAGTTGCTAAGTCATGTCTAACTCTTTGGGACCCTAAGAATTGCAGCATGTTAGTCTTCCCTGTCCTTCACTGTCTCCTGGAGTTTGCTCAAATTCATGTCTGTTAAGTCCTGAGAAATCTGCATGCAGGTCGGGAGGAAGCAACAGTTAGGACTGGATATGGAACAACAAACTGGTTAAAAATTGGGAAAGGAGTACATCAAGGCTGTATATTTTCACCCTGCTTATTTAACTTATATACAGAGTACATCATGTGAAATGCTGGGCTGGATGAAGCACAAGCTGGAATCAAGATTGCTGGGAGAAATATCAATAACCTCAGATACACAGATGACACCACCCTTATGGAAGAAAGCAAAGAAGAACTAAAGCCTCTTGATAAAAGTGAAAGAGGAGAATGAAAAAGTTGGCTTAAAACTCAACATTCAGAAAACTAAGACCATGGCATCTGGTTCCATCACTTTATGGCAAATAGATGGGGAGACATGGAAACAGTGAGAGAATTTATTGTGGGGGGCTCCAAAATCACTATGGGTGGTGACTGCAGCCATGAAATTAAGACACTTGCTCCTTGGAAGAAAATCTATGACTAATCTAGACAGCATATTAAAAAGCAGAGATATTACTTTGCCAACAAAGGTCCATCTAGTCAAAGCTATGGTTTTTCCAATAGTCATTGTATGGATGTGAGAGTTGGGCTATAAAGAAAACCGAGTGCTGAAGAATTGATGCTTTTGAACTGTGGTGTTGAAGACTCTTGAGAGTCCCTTGGACTGCAAGGAGATCAAACCAGTCAATCCTAAAGGAAATCAGTCCTGAATATTCATTGGAAGGACAGATGCTGAAGCTGAAACTCCAATACTTCAGGGAAGAACTGACTCATTGGAAAAGACCCTGATGCTGGGAAAGATTGACAGCAGGAGAAGAATACGACAGAAGATGAGATTGAGGTTGGATGGCATCACCAACTCTATGGACATGAGTTTGAGCAAGCTCTGGGAGTTGGTGACGACCAGGGAAGCCTGGCATGCTTCAGTCCATGGGATTGCAAAGAGTCAGACATGACTGAACAACTGAACTGAACTGAAGTAGGTGATGCCATCCAATCATCTCATCCTCTATAGTCTCCTTCTCCTCCTGCCCTCAGTCTTTCCCAGCATCAGGGTCTTTTCCAATGAGTCAGCTCTTCTCATTAGCGGGGGCTTTTTCTGATCATCTCTAGCCTTTGTGGCAGCCATCTGTCTACCACAGCTTATTATCATTCCATAAATGGATATGGTACAAAAAAACAGGTGCTGTCTGGAAAAAACTTCAGGAATTTTCACTTTCTAGTTCTATTCTACAACTGTCTTGGTTCAGAAGAAGGCAGAGATCAGATCCCTTCCCACAAGGAAGATTCAGTTAAAACTGGAAACAGAGAAAAGAGCCGGGCATTTGGAGTCAGTCAAACTTGGATTTGAGTTTCTGTTCCTCATCTTACTATTTGTGTGACCTTGGCAAACTGCTTCTCCCCCTCCAAGTCTCTTTTCTAACCTAGTGAAACTGGTCCTCCAGATCTCAAGATTGTTGTAAGAATTAGCAGCCATAAGAGGCAGTCAAGTATAAAGTCCCTGGTGAACGCCCATGACCATCCTAAGTGAGGTGTGAGTCTGGAT